AGAAAGTATATCTTAATAATATTATTATATATTCTAAAATCTGAAAAGAATATTTAGTTTATTTATAAAAAGTTTTAAAAAAGTTTCAATAAACAAATTTAAAACTCTAAGTAGATAAATATACTTTTAAAAAGAATTAATTATCCTTTCTAAAATATATTATTAGAAAAAATAGTATTTAACTAGATCTAGCTAAAATAGAGAAAGTATAAGAATTTTTAGTATTAATTAATATTATTTTTCTAAGAAAATTTATAGGATTCATTTTATATTATAGAAGATTTATAAAAAATTTTACTAAAATAGTAATTCTTTTATATAAGTTATTTAAGAAAAATAAAAAATTTAATTAGATAGAGAAAAAACAAAAAGTTTTCAAGTTGCTTAAAAAGTATTTAATATTTCTATTAATTATTACTTATTTAGACTTCATAAAGCTATTTATACCCTTTACAGATACTTTTAAATTAAAATTTGATGCTATACTAATATAATATAATAATAAAGAAAAAGAATATATTATTATATATACTAGTAAAAGAGTTAACAAAAAAAAATAAATATAGCATAACAGAACTGGAATATTTAGAAGTGATTTGGATAGTCAAATTATTTAGATTATACTTATTATTTGATATTTCTTTTATATTAATCACTAATTATTTAGTTCTAAAATAATTAATTAATAAATTCAATTCTTTTGAAAGATTAATATACTAGATAATAATTTTATAAGAATATAATTTTATAATTAAATATAAATTTAGTAGAATCTATTTAAATATTGATTTACTTTCTTGAATATCACTTATACTTAAAGAAGAAAATAATAAAATATAAACTTGAATAACTATATAAAATTATATAATATCTAAATATATTAATAATATCTTATAAATTCTCAAGAAAAAATAAAAATGACTACTAACAGAATTAAAAAAATACTTTATATAAAATTATAAACTATATAAAAGAAATAGCTTAAATATTGATTATCTACTATTAGTTATTAAATTAATAGAAGTCAAATTAATTCTTTATAATAATTATTCAGATATTATATCTAAATATTTTAAAATTAAAACTATCTATAATCAAATAATAAGAAATTATTATTGATTTCAGATATATAAAGATATAGATATATATATTAAAACTTGTGATATATATTAATAAAAAAAATAACTGCATAAAAATAATAAAATAATATTAATTCAAGTAAATACATCTTTTAAAAAGATTAAAATTAATCTAATAAGATTTCTTTTAGTAACTAATAATAAAAATTACTATATCATAGTTATTATTAATTATTTAACTAAATAAACTGAAGCAAGATCTATTATAGATACTTCTGCAACTTTAATTATTCTATTTCTTTACAAAGATATAGTAATAAGATATAAATTTCTAAAAGAAATACTTAGTAACAAAGAAATTATATTTATTAATAAAATAATCAAAAAACTATTAGAAAAATATCAGATTAAGTATAGATTTTTTACTTTTTATTATTCTTAAACTAATAAATTAGTTGAAAGATTAAATCAAACTTTATATATTTTATTATTAAAATATGTTTAATTCTATAAGAAAGATTAAAATTATTATCTATCTTTAGTTTTATTCATTTATAAAATAATAAAATAAAGTATAACTCTATTTGAATCTTTTTAATTAATATATTATTAACAAGTAATCATATTATTAAATATTGAATTAAAAGATTTTAATAGTCTTACTTTTGAGAAAGTTCTTATCAAAAGAATATATAAATTAATTAACAAATTTAAAATTATGTGAGAATTAGTTCTTAATAATATTTAAAAGAAATAGTTCAAACAAAAAGAATAATATGATAAGAAATAAAAGTTAACAATTTTTCAGATAGAATAAAAAATATTAATAAAATGAATAGAAGCTTAATATTAATATTATGATAAATTTAGTGAAAAATAAAAAGAATCATTCTATATCTATAAAGCTTATAAAAAAGATACTTATAAACTTAGAAATTTAAATAAAAGATTCTGAAAAATTCTTATAATAGTAATTATTTAAAGCTATATATTAAGTTTAATAATTTAAAACTAGTTATTATTATTAATAATAATTAAAAGATTTATAAAATAAATCTCTTAAAGCTAAGAATTCTATAATTAATCATCTATTTATATAGTACAATATATAGTATAGCTGCAATATATAGTATAATTACTAATCATTATTAAATTAGATAAAGTATTTAGTCTTATTCTTTTATTTATTTAGTTATATATGTTATATTTAATTTATAATTTTATTAAATTAATAATTTTCTAATTAGTTATTATTAATTTTTTTTCTTATTTTAATTATAAATAACTTTAATATTTTATTAATTTTAATTCTTAATTATTTCACATTTAATTTAGAAATATTCTTTATAATAATTTTTTTGAGATTCTACTTGTTATTGAGTAAATTAGATAGAATGTTATATTAAAAATAATTTATAATTAGTATAATAAGAAAATATTTTATATAAAAAGTTAAGAAGTGATTAAGAAGAATAATTAAGTTTAATAAAAGTAATTAGCTATTAAGTTAAAAATAGTTAATTAGTATTTTCTTTAATAAATATGTATATTTTATCTTATATCTTATCTTTATTTTCTTCTTATTCTATTAAAAAAGTATTTTATTAAAAGTAAAACTTATATAAATTATCTTATTGAAAAGAAAATCAATCATTTTAAATCTTTTAAAATTATAAAAATAAATAATTATTATGAACATAGTTACTCTTACTATTTTAAAATATTTATATATATATAAACTTAAAATAATAATAAAATTAATAAGAAAATAAATAATAATGAAAAAATATATAAGAATATACTAATAATATTAAATTTAATGATAACTTTTCTTTTATAATTCTTATATTTATAGTAATAATTTTACTTATAATTAGTTTTTAAATAGAATAGAGAAATTTATAAATTTTTTTTAGAATTTCATTATTAAAATTAATTATAAAAATTTATTTCTGATAAAAATTAAAGATAATTTTTTTAGAATTAAATTATCTTTTACTAATTAAGATTAATAAATATATTTTTAATATAATATAAATATTTGATAAGTAAAAAATTATAATAAAAAATATTATAAAATAAACATAATACTTATAAAATCAAGCTTTTTAGTTATTATTTTTTTAAGTTTATTATAAAAGAATTTTAATAAATTAATTAAGATAATTTATAATAGGAGTGATAAATATTATTATATCTAAAATATTTATTTTTTCATATTTTTAATATAATTTTAATTAATATAATTAATAATATTAAATATAAAATAAGTAATAATAATATTATAAATAATTTCTTTATAGTTAATTCTTATTTTTTATATAGGATTAAGATTAATTAATTATATATTATTAAATAATAGATCTTATATAATTATATATATATTATATATATTATATAAAAAATTTTATTATAATTTTATTTATTATATATAATTCAAAAAAAAATATTTATAATATTATTAATTTTTATATTATTTTAATTAGAAAGTATATATTAAATAAGATATAAGTTCATAAATTATTTTTAGTATTTTAATTATTATATTACTATTCTTATTATTTATAAAAAAATAAATATTAATATTTTAATATTTATAATTATTATAAATATATAATATAAAGAAATATCATAAATATTTATTAATATTATATATGAAATTTATGAATATTAGTTATTCAAAAAGTTATAATTTCTTTAACTATTTAGAATTTATAAAAATAAAATCTTGAAATAATTTTTACATGATATTATATATATTTGTATATATATCTATATATATCTTAAGAAATATTTGATTTAATAATTCTTGTAAATTAAAAAATTAAGAGTATTTTTAATATTAACTTTTAAATTATATTTATTAATAAAATAAATTATCAATAATTTACATACTTTTATTAAATATTTATAACTTTAGTTTTATATAGATTTTGAATTATAATATTAAGATTTTTTTTACTCATAATCTCTTTAATTATAGTTATAATGATGAATAAAATATATAATTTACTTGCTTTATTAATTACTAATTTTTAATAATCTTAAATTAGTTAATTTTATTATTATTATTGATTAAATATATATGATTTAATATATTTTTAAAATATTTAATTTTAATTATTTAAAAAATAATAATATGTATTATTTTAATTTTTATATTATATTTATCAAAATCATACTTATTTATTTTTTTTTATTTTTTTATAGAAGTATCTTCTTTATATATATTCAATTTATTATATTTTATAAGATAATAAATATAAATAACTCAAAAATTATTATTAATATACTGTACTTTTAACTATTATATTATATTCATATATTAAAAATAAGTAATCATAAGTTCTTACAAAATTCTTTTTTTGAGATCTTAAATATTATATTAATATTAAATATTTTTGATTACTTATAATATAATTAAATAATAATATTAAAGAACTTAAATATAGAAATGATGATGAATATATTATAAAATAAGAATGAATATAAAGTGGCAGAATGAGAAAGTTAGCAAACTGAACTAGAAAAAAAAATAAATAAAAAATTATAGAAATATTAAGTATATATATCAAAAAATAAAATAAGTATGTAATAAAAAAATAAAATAAGAAGTATATAATATTAGAAATGACAAGTACAAATAGAATTAGTTTCTTATGTGCTTATTATTATAGTGCTTATTATTATAATACTTATAGCTTGCATTTGACATAAAAATGTTAAGTATATATATATACATCTTGCAATAAACAAAATTTTTTTCTTTCGCATGTGACATGACTTGCCAATCCAGATCAAATCAACTCTGAATTGACTCGATCCGAATTGCACTACCCAGCTTCAGTGTTCCCCCCAAATTAGGAAATTTGAAAATTGCTCGACCATCTTGAATGCGCATCAAAGAAATTATATTAACAAATGGCTTTTCCCAAGCGTAAAGCCTCCATTATAAGCCTTCCACTATTTGCTGAATATCCCCCTCAACCTCCCAAGCGAAGCTTGCGACAGACACTTTTTCTTTCATTCTTCGGTCTCTTATTCACCATCTCTCTTTTAATTAATGCTTTCCATTTCATGTCCTGCCAACTCGATGGCGTGGAAAAAGAGTCGATTCGACAGGCTATAGTAACACCATCGGATAATATTGAGGCTGGTTTGTTAGAGAAACATTTTCTACCCTCACCACCGCACCAACAACTTCAAGATCTAGTACTCGTGGCTGGCCACGCGATTTTTGTTGGCTCGGATTTGGAACACGTTGAGGAAGATAATGATTGGGTGCTGGAAGATTATCAGAAGGGAGGAGAACAAGTGAAAACATTTTTAAAGCATATTAGGAAAGGTGTCGAATTAACAATAGATAATGGAGAAGCATTGTTGATATTTAGTGGGTGGGTATAAATTCTAAGCTCACCCGAAAAAACACGCGAATAGATTCATGGACTTTAGGATAAAAAAAAAATTAATTTTCATGTTTCAGAGGACAGACGAGACCTTCCGCAGGACCAAGAAGTGAATCACAAAGTTATTGGGTAATTTTATATATGGCTTATTCCTCATGATTTTATGTCGTACGCATACATAAGAAATAACCGTTATTGTTTAGGTTCTTGCCGAGTCACTTCATATGTTCCCCAGTTTCGAGAATTCTACCGTATTTAATCGAGCCACCACAGAAGAATACGCGCGTGACTCTTACGAAAATCTATTATTCTCAATTTGCCGTTTTTACGAGTATTAGAAAATGTGTTGCTACTTATTTCATGCTTGATTCTTTGATATGATAAATTGTGTTAAATGAAATTTTATATTCTTGTTTCTCGATATGTAGATTAACAGGTCATTATCCACGAAATGTGACAGTCGTAGGGTTCGGATTTAAACGGCGGCGATTTCTAGAGTTGCATCGTGCAGCTGTAAAGTTTCCTAAAGAAAGGTAGATAATGATTTTTAGTTACTTGGATTGTGCTATACCAAATTAGCTAATAAAATTTTCGATTTTTATGAAGATTTAATTATGTAGGCATTGATCCAGGTGATAGTGCATTGGGAAGAATGGGAGGCGAGGTAATTAACAAAAAGCACGTACCTCTTTTTAATTTAGTTATTTGGATCTATTAATGAATTATATGCACAAACACAAATAGAATATTAACGGCTTGGGTCTATTTCGTGATGATTTATACGGATGTCACGGAAAACTTCGTGATAAAAAGATTAACCGAAATCCTTCACGTAGAAGGTATTATAACAAAAGTTTTGAATAATTTTTGATTTTATTTTGTCTCTACTACCTGTCTTCTTTTAATTAATTAACAATATTCAACTAAAATTTTAGTCACCCGTATCATTTGAGTTGCCCATCACTTTCCTCTTTATTTAATTATTGTCCAGATAATCAAACATTAATATTTCCGGGTACATTACCTTGGGAATAAATGAATTTTTTGGTGGGTTGGGTGGAACAAAGATGATCGTACAGTTGCTGTTCACATGAAGCTTTTTTTCATATATTTTATTTAACTAATGCATTCTTTTCTTGGTCCAAATAATTTATTAATTTATTTAATCTTTATTAATCATGTACATAAATTAATACCTTTGAAATATAGAATAATAGTATCATAATTTATAAACATAATAAGGGAATAGATTTTTTTTATATACATAATTATTGCTATTTTTGAGAACTAGATAGAACATCTAAGTTTGGAATTCAGAAAAAATGTTTCTCTGAACAATATATTTAATCAGTGATTCAATAAAAGAAACAAATTAGTAGACCCGTGCTTAATTGAACTGACGCATTGAATATCCGACAATATGTGCTCTTAAAAAAATTCACTTCATCTCATCATGACAATAATCCGCGTAATGAATGATTTACAAATTTTTAAAATTTTTATCTTCGTCACATTTTCTTTATTAAAATTTGCGCGTCATTATCAAAATCAACTAGTTTACGTCAAACAATTAAACTATCAATAAAAAATTCTCAAATGTAAAAGAAAATACTATTATTTAAGGGGAATGAATAATGGGGATAATATGTAAGGAAGCGAAATGGGATTTCGCTTAATGAAAAAATCAAAGTGGATATGAAAAGAAAATGCTGCTGCTCTTTTGTTTCTATATGTTTTATATTAAGAATGATGATGATGATTAAAAAATTGGCAAGCGAAAGAATTATTTTCTTATATACAAATGAAGCGAGGAATAATCTTATAATTATTTGATATTATATCAGTCTTCCCAAAATATGGTACTCAATATATATCAAATAAGATTACATAGGAATATAATATGAAATCTATGAATCCGTTCTACCAATCACACTATATGCCACTACTAATAAATCCTGCTCTTAAGGAAATCCAAAAAATACACAAAAGAAACTCGCTCATTCACTTTCCGAAAAAGAAATAATGAAAAAAACAAAATATACATACTTGAAGAAAATTGGTTATTACGATGAAAATATAATAAAATTTATATGCATCAGAAAGTTTGGATGATGAAAAATCGAATGAATAATGCAAAAAAAAAAAAGAAAACATATAATCGTTCATTATCTCTATTTAAATGGAATGAATGGGAAATCAAAAGTGAGTAGATTGAGTATGGAAACAAAAAACGACGAGAAAAAAAGAATAAAGTTCATATTAATCAATCAAAGACGACGAGGTAATCATAGATAATTCAAGATACCAAGTATAGATTTGATGATCCTGCCGTTTTCATGTAATTTGTCAAGTCGATCTTCGAGGCATTTCCATGTTCACGATAAAAATTACTCTTTAATCGACAATAATTGAATGAGAGGAATCTATATTCTTCAAAGAATTCTTCAGGCATTTCCCACGCATCAGGATCCATTGTGTCGCCGTGACATTTTGCTTTCCTTATTAGAAGATCGCACAGCTTTGTGAGATCATATTTGTCGCGATGTTCAATCATACGCGCTCTCAGATGCAGGCATGGTATCATGCCAATCCTGGGATCATGTGGTTGTTGAAGGTAGAATAACTGTTGTTGTGTCAACTGAAAGTGTAATTTCGGATTAACATCAGCGAAACTGGGGGCACGAACCAATCGTGCCAAAGCAATTAATTGTTGCATCTCCTCGCCAGTTAATTGTGGTTGAATCTGTAATTGCACCGGAGATTGCTGTTGTTCTTGTGATTGAAGAATCGAATAATCTGAAAGATACGAATCAAAGAATAAATTTGAATAATCAAGATAAGTTGAAGTGGATTCGTTATTAGAAGTATGAATAGTCGTATTATTATTAGTGATCCCATTGTGATTGGTAATTAATGGTTTCGATTCATGTAATTGATCAATGGTTGTGGTATCAATATTGCTGTTTCCATCACTTGTATCAATTAACACTGGTTTTACTTCACTCAAGTCATTTGCTAAATCCTCGTTAAGAGAAAAATTATTCGGTGGTGATCCAACAGTGGTCGATGGGGTGACCGGGGTGCTTTGAGGTGACATAACAGTTGAACTATTTGTTGGTGATGGAAGAAAACTCTTTGAAGCAACATCAAAGGAATCTTCTCGATCAGAATTTAATGCAAGAACCGCATTAATAGCCTGCAGCACATCAGCTTGCGGTTGTACTAGCTGCGATAATTGTGATGCTGAACGACGAGAAGGTGACTGTGATTGTTGCTGCTGTCGTTGCTGTGATTGTTGTTGACTCAATAAATTAAACGATAATGGTGTATTTTCGTTGGTTATTGTGGGTGATGTTTGGGATGACGCTTGTGATAAATTATACATTCCCGTAGTGATACTCTGATTTTGTGCCAACATCATGGTAGACATACTTGGTGCTAAAAATGCACGAGTGGCAGGAATATTATTCACCGCAGATGTGGTTTTAATTTTTGACGTGATTTCTGAATTCCCGTTAATATCATTTAATATGGTTTCGAATGCCAATGCTAATCCTTTCCAATAGCCATTTTCATTCTTCAGATTTTCAATCATCACACGATAAGTACCAATTTCTTTTTGATGCTTGACAGCAGCCTCGTACTCATTTTGACGAAGAGTTTTGATGGTGTCCTCTAATTCGCGCAAATGTCGTTCTTTTCTTTCTCGAAAAGCTCGTTGAGCCGCACGATTTTGTGCTTTTCTAAGAGCAGGCGAAGCTGGATTTGGTTTTCGACCCGGTTTTTTTCGTTGAGGTGTTTGTGGTTGCGATGACTGTTCTTGTTGTGGCGCATCGGTTTCTTGATGCTGCTGTTGCTGGCCGGCATTTATGTCACTGACTGTAGAGGATATCACTTCCTCGTGCTCTCTGGTTTCTAGGTCTTGGTGAGGGTCGTAACCTTGAGCTTGATCAAAGTCTTCCCCATTCTCTTCCTCATAAACACAGTCCGACGTAAGCTTGAAGTGTTTATTAGAGAAACCAAAATCCTCGTCGTCAAACATATTAAATTTTCTTTTCAAGTCTTCTTGTTGTTGTTGTTGTTGTTGTTGCTGTGATAAAAGAGTAGTCATAGTGTCAATGATATTTTTATGCTTGCTAAGTTTTACACTTTTTTTAAAAAAACTGAAAATGTTTTTATGTGTGATGGTTTCTTTTATATGTCGGTCAGTCCGTCAGGTGACAATAAATTCGATGATGATTCTAATGAAATATATAGTATCTATGATTATATTTTATGATGGGTATGATATATTATTTATATATAAATGATAGCGTGAAAAATATTTAAGAGACCCGGAAAAACCTTTAACAATGAAAATAAAAATGTTATAATAGCAATATGTAAGTGGCGTATTAACGTTAATATACATTGTATGAATCATGCATAATCTGCGCCATTACATCCTACACGTATGTCATCGGTTAATTACGGACCGATTTTCAACTGTTTATATTGTGTGCGTTTTAAGAAAAGAAGTTGATGGCCGAAACCCAAAATTTTTGGGAAATTACCTAGTTGGTTAATTATGGGACTTGATCTAACGATTGTAAGTCGGTAAATAATGGTAAAACTATTTTCGCGTAGATTCATCCTTTTCATGCTTGGCAAATGGAATCCACATCGGTCATTTTTTCTAAACTTTGAGCCGAAATAATCTGAATTCACTCTTCTTTGGAATGTATATGTTTTTTGTGTTTGTACGTCTCTCCTTTCCCACCTCTAAATAAATTTAGATAGCTTGCTAGTTCATTTGCTTCTTCTACAAAAGTGATCGATTGATGCACATGAAAACTGGCACACACATACGCTACTAATTTTTTTGCCCATTTGGTCTCATTATGCTCATTCTGACTTAATTATAGAAGAATCATCTTAACCAAAAACTTAACACGTTTTAGCTGTGAATTAGTTGTCTTGGAATGCATTTTAGCGGCCTATAAGTGTAAATGGAAATGCAATAACGATAAGGAAATTAGCGTTAGGGTAATCATTCGTAAAATGAGATATGAGTACACAAGTAGATCACCATTGTCGGAGGAGAAGGAAAAAGGAAGATAAGCTATTTACATACATAATGTGACCAAACTTACACAATTCAAAATATTTTCCGATTGATCCGCCAATATAATTCGTGACATGCAAGGGAAAGAAAGAACCAAACAAACAGAACAAGTGTTAACCAACAAACAACGATGCACGTGCACGCTAGGACATAAATAAACAAACATGACCTGATGCAGGCACAAAAAATCCGTCATTATCGCGTGTCTAATAAACATTCAAGCATAATATAAATATAGATGAAAACAAACTTTTAGCCAGAGATTAAACAAATTAGAAAGTAGGATACCATCACGTCTCTCATCTCGCTTTTTTTTTGTCTCTCGAATGGGTGACCTCATTTCAACCCCCGCCATTTTTAATTTTTCATTAAAAGGGAATCTAATCAAATTGATAAGATCGTTTTGAACTTTTTTTTTATATACAAAAGCCACTCTTGATATAACGAAGTAGTCGGGTCTATATGTAAAAATCTCAAAAACTTCATCATACATTATATCGAGCGGAACCATTATATGGTTTATAATAAATTGTTCCTGAACTCGAGTTCATTATATCGCGATTTTAATTAGACTTAAGGGTCGTTATATCAAGAGTATCTTTGAATGTCGGTATCTTATTTCCGAATTATATTTTTGGTGTGTTGTGCAGATTTTTCTTATTTATGTGTGCCCGAAGATTGCAGTCAAATAAAGTTGTGAATCCCTTAACAAGATATCTATGTGACACGGATTAAAAAGGAAAACGCTTATATACGATCATTTGTATATGAAAAAAACATTTGTATCTGAAAAAAGATTCATTTATGCAGTTAAATGATTATTTGTTTTTCTTGACGCGCGTGGACACTTTGTGCTCATCACTTGATTAGAAATCTATTCTATCAATTATGACAAATGAAAAGTTATATATATACATATGAGCCACTTCTGTTGGTTGATGATCTTGCAATAAGCTGCGCTGGAAAGTTTTTGTAAATCCGCGAATTTTTCCATATCGATATACATGCAATAAACTTCCCGCTTACATGATTACTCAAAATGAATGATGCATGTCTACATGCTTTCATAAGGAATTCCCCTTTCTCCAATGTAGGTTTTGAAAAACAGGGCCTGAATACTTTTCTGAGTTACCGTAAAACGTTACACAAAGTTCCCCATTTTTGAGTAAAATCAACCTATTTTCCTGCAGTTAATAAATTTAGCGTTCGCACGTTTTATATTAAGATTCGCAATAGAAAGAATTTAATTTTCCGAATTGCATATCGAGTGATCTTTGTTCTTCAAAGTTGGCTAGGGATTCCTTTCTTGATGCCTAATTGTAGTTATTCTTGATAGACCTTTCGTGCATTGATAAAATAAGTTTTTTTGCGTGATATCAGGAAAGGCAACAATATATTGAATTTCCTTTTTCATCCAATAAAGATACTTTATCCGTCGCTCAAAAAAACATGCCTTTCAGATGGGTTATCGATTGATATTGTTATTTGTTTTTTCAATTTAGTAATTTCCTATGATTACAGTGTCATTTCCAACGGCGGAAATTTTAAATTCATTATTTAAGAACGAATATAATCGATTTGGTAAAGAAATGTTAAATTCAGTAGATAATTTTAATTAATTGTTTCAGAACACAATAGCCACCCTTCATGAAAAACAACACTTAATTTATGTAATTAACGTTAAGTTCTTATCATCGCTTTGATAAGACAACAAAATGTTTTAGAGGGAAAATCTTTATTATTTAGAATAACAAGTCTAGATGCCATTAGAAACCTTATTCAGAATCGTGTACGATTTATTAAAATTGTATCATTAATTCACAAAGCTCCCTGTGCAACTCTGATAGTTCGACGTGTCTTTCCAATTTCAATTTGTGGCGTAACGGTAATATCACTCCATATGGACATGCAGTTTCCCATTTTGGCGGGCGGTGAGTTGATTGTCATCCTACATATATTGTGGAACCTGAACGATATAGAAAAAAAAAAGATCAGTTTATTTGATCAATCGTTACGTGGCATGGCATCCGACAAATTCGTCAACCCTCAAATGATAAATCAATTAGAGCAAGAAGCAAATGCGATAACCAATGATTTAGATTGCATGTTAAAAAAATTGAAAATGAAAATGTTTGAGGTGATTGATGAATTTGTTAATTGTTGGCTTATTTTACTTTCTTCTTAACATGTTTATTCTTACGACAAGGCCTCAACTATAACTCGAGAATCATTTGATGTATACGATCAGACAGTTACAAATTATTGCGCAGCTATCGAGGAAACTGCGAATAAGACTCGTGCATTAATCAATATGTGTGATGCGCTTGATAAAGAATTTTCAAATGTTAATGCTTTGGCTAAGAATATGTATTTTTGTTTGGTGTTTTTAACTTAGTCGAATTTTTCAATTAATTTATGGATATTTACATGAATTCATTCTTCCTTTTAGCAAATCCATTAGAAAACAATTGGACGCATTGCAATATTCAATAAAGTGAAGAAACGAATTTCTAACTTGTGGGATGATATACAAAATTTAATTCCACCCCTTTTAATAGTCTTTTTTTTGGTAGTAAAGATATCAATGAAATTTTCGTCAAACTACTTTACCTTAATAATAATAATAATAATTATAATAATAATAACAGTATTTCTGTTCTTTATTATGGCTTGGATGCACGAAAAGAATTTATCCTCGTTCTTTAGATCTAATATATAAATCAAAGAAAATTTCAATAAATTCCTAATTCCAAAATATGAAAAAAATTAACGGAAGATATATTTTTTCATCAGATTTCCGTTCTTTCTTTACATCACTTTGTGAAATCTCAGGTTGATAAATCCCCTGTGTGTGGAAATTTCATCATTTAAAAAAATTCCAACCCTTTAATTCTTCATACTCGAGTGATCTCAACAGTAAAATATACATCAAATAGTAAAACATCCGAGTAATCAAACCAACTCATTTTCACCAATCCGATTGCAAACTATATTTACGTTGCTCATGAGGGTTGAAATTGATATACAAATTTTAAACAAATAAAAACGATACAACCCTTCAGCGTCCTTATCAATATCGTCATATGGTTACTATTTCTTCGAGAAGTTCTTTTACCCGTAGTTAACATATACTACCGGAAATCAAACAGGAGCAAAAGTCAAAATTGGAAAGATGTCTCCTCGTTATTCGATTTTTTGCCTGGTTTTTCAACATCAAATTGGTTACACCGAGTGATGTGACGTAAGTTGTCGCTCAAAAGATCTAATACGCGCTTGCGTAATGCGAAAATAAAAAAAGTCTATTTTTTTACACCCGCAATCATGGCTACAAATCCCGAAGAAAATAAACCCCAAGAGGAAAAAGAGGAAGAATTACCACAAGAAATTTTGCGTGCTAGCCCAGAAGATATAAATAACCGCACGCGGCTATTGGAAAATGAAATAAAGGTTCATGTCTTATTGTTATGCAGTTGAACGATTGTGTTATTCTATACCTCGAATTATTTATCTATTGACCTTTTTGCATGATAACGCTCTCTGCAGGTCATGAAATCCGAGCACGTGCGTCTAACGCTCGATCAAACCTCAATAAAAGAGAAGATAAAAGACAATAAAGAAAAAATAAAAGTCAACAAGCAACTGCCGTATCTCGTTGGAAATGTAGTTGAGGTTAGTTAACTGATCAGATTCATTATTTAAAGTTTGGTTTCTTGTGATATGTTAATTGACGCGTATTTGATTGTATCATCATATTTTTTGTACCAAAGTTGCTGGATATGGATCCTAATGATGAGCCCGAAGAAGATGGTGCGAATATTGATTTGGATGCACATCGAAAGGGTAAATGCGCCGTGATCAAGACGTCCACGCGGCAGGTATATTGTAATATTGTATATGGCTAATCCTTAAACTATTATTTTGACGCATTAGCTCAATTTTAATTTTTCTTACAGACTATCTTCCTTCCACTCATTGGTCTTGTTGATCCAGCCACTTTAAAACCTAGTGACTTGATTGGTGTCAATAAAGATAGTTATCTTGTGTTAGACACATTACCAGCCGAGTAAGTTTTCTACTATGATATATTCTTTGTGAATGTCTTTTTGGAGAAAATAAATGATTTTTTTGTTTTACTTAAATAGATATGATTCGCGCGTTAAGGCTATGGAAGTTGATGAGAAACCCACAGAAGATTATAATGATATTGGTGGACTTGATAAACAAATTGAAGAACTAGTCGAAGCCATCGTAATTCCAATGACTCATGCTGAAAAATTCAAAAATTTGGGTATAAAACCGCCAAAAGGTAGCAAAATTTTTTTTGTTCGATCGATTTTCAATCTGCATTTAAAAAATTATTGATCAGTTCAGCTAACATAATTTTGTTGCGTAGGGGTTTTAATGTATGGACCTCCAGGAACAGGAAAGACTTTATTGGCCAGGGCTTGTGCCGCACAGACTCAATCCACATATTTAAAATTGGCAGGACCTCAGCTTGTTCAGGTATTCATAATTTCTTTTTGATTATTTATTGAATTTGGATCGTAAGAAAGATTTATCGTTTCTCCACTGTTATTAGATGTTTATTGGTGATGGTGCAAAACTTGTACGCGATGCCTTCAATCTAGCTAAAGAAAAAGCGCCTGCTATTATCTTTATTGATGAATTGGACGCAATAGGAACCAAGCGTTTCGATAGTGAAAAGAGTGGAGATCGTGAAGTTCAACGAACTATGTTAGAATTGCTTAATCAACTTGATGGTTTCAGCAGCGATGAGCGAATTAAGGTTTTTTTCTTTTACACTCATTTAAATCTTTATCTCGGTACAAATTAGCTGACAGGTGAACATTCTGTGTAGGTTATAGCGGCTACAAATCGTATTGATATATTAGATCCAGCGCTTCTACGGTCTGGACGTCTCGACAGAAAAATAGAATTTCCACTTCCAAATGAAGAAGCACGCGCGCGTATTCTTCAGATTCATTCTCGTAAAATGACAGTAAGTCCCAATGTTAATTACGAAGAATTGGCGCGCTGCTGTGATGAATTCAATGGTGCGCAATGTAAGGCTGTGTGTGTGGAAGCTGGTATGCTTGCTTTAAGACGTCAAGCTACCGAATTGAGTCACGAAGATTTTATGGATGGTGGGTAATCATTGATACTTTGAATTTAAGTACTTTTTATTCTAAACCTTTTATTTTTTATTTTTTAGGAATTCAAGAAGTTATGGCCAAAAAGAAAACATCTTTGAAATATTATGCATAAAAATAAACTAAAAAACCCCTAAACTTTATCCTAAACTAATAGAATTTCTGATGATGACGAAAAGTGTTATTATTATTATTATTTATAATTTGTATTATTTTGGTTTTTGTTCATAATTTTATAAAGCAATGAATACAATAATTCGATTAGCATTATTTTGTCCATCTTCGCATCGATGTCTTCGATCATACGTGCGATGCTTGTTAATTTAGATATAATGATGAATTGAATATTTGACGGATGCGACGCCACAACAATTACCCGCTAATTAAAAGATTGGCTAGAGTCACTTTGTATATGTAAACCACTTATTTTCCGTGGCTAGGATATCTAATAAACACAAATAATACTGTATAATAAAAAATATAATATTATATAAAGTTTATTAATTATTTATTAGTATATTTTTTTATCATATAAAATTGACATCAAAATATCTTTCTAATAATGAAATTTATATGAAGTATTATTATACTTATGAAATAATGAAATGTATTTTATTGAAATATAATTTCAAGAAATAAATTAATAACTTGAATAATTTATAATAAAAGAATAGAAAAATATTTTATATAATTTTAACTAATAAATAAATTATAAAACTTACTATTAAAAATTAATAATAATTATATTATATTATAATCTTCTAATTTTTAATTATTTAATTAAATATGATCTAATAAAGAAAAATATTTAATATTAAAAGATATATTTAATCTTAAGATTATCAAATTCTAAAGATATATATTATTATAATATAGAATTTTTATATATTTTATTGAATATTTTATTTTTTATTTTCTATATATTTATTTTTTTGTTCTTATTAATTATTTAAATATTATAATTTTATTAAATAATATTTAAAAAAAAGCTGAGAAAGAAAATTATTAAAACAAATTATCTAGTTAGTTTAGTTACATATTAATTATATATTTAATTTGTATTACATAATTTAAAAATTATCAATTATAATTTTAATATTTAAAAGATAAACTAATTAAATTACAAAATAATATATTTTATATTTAATAAATAATATTTCTTGCAAAATAAATTTTATTTTTTATAATTATATATATAGTAAATAAAATTATTATTATTATAATATTTTATATTAATATTTTTTATATATATTATTAGAATTTTAAATATTAAAATATTAAATATTTTGAAATTTGAAAATATCAAGTTAAATTTTATAAGTATTAAAATTTTGAGAATTTAAATATTAATATTTTAAATTTTGATAAATTATAATTTTAATATTAAAATATTAAATAATAAAATTTTAATTCTTATTAAATTATAAATATAATTATTTAATTAGAAATTATAATTAATAAATTATTAATTTTTTAATTTTAATTAAAAAACTTAAAATTTTTTTATAATTAATAAAAATAAAATAATAAATATAAGAATTTATATAAACTTTATATATTTAATATATTTAAATATTAATTATTATTTTATTAATATGAATTTATTCTAATATCTTAATATTTATTTTTTAATAACTTAATATTTTAATAATTTTATATTTAATATTTTAATATTTTAATAATTTAATATCTTAATAATTTAACTTTTTAATAATTTTTTAATAATTTAATAATTTAACTTTTTTAATAAACTAGTTTAATTTTTAATTTTTTATAAGAATTAATTATTAATATTTATTAATAATTATAATTTAATATAAAAAATTTGTATTTTAAAATAAAATTAATAATTATTTTTAATAAAATTATTTAAATTTAATTAATTTCTTATATTAAATAAAAAATAATTTAAATTAACTTTTTATATTATTTTAATTAAAAAAAATTAAAATTTAATATTTAATAATTAAATTATTTAATATATAATTTTTTTATTAATTTTTCTTAAATTTTATATAGTAAAATTTAAAAAATAATAATTCAAAAAAATTATTATTAATAAAATTTTTTATAAAAAATATATAATAAAAATTTTTATATATAAATAAATTTTAATATTTAATAACTTAATTAAATAAAATAAAATTAAAATTTTATTTT